AAAGATGCCGAGATGTGCATTTCATTCATTATCATTCAGTTCAGTTTGAGTTAAATGTAACTGAAACAAGTATGAGCTTTCCTATTTGCGATGAATAAATATCAAAGCAGAGAGATTTCAAGAAGCAACATAGTTTATCTCTTTATTAATTAAAAGAATATATTTATCATAATAGAAGTATATCATTGGTGAAATCGACATAATTATGTCTATGATATCGGAAATCGAAACAAAAGGACTCCAGTCCCCCCGCCTCGAAGGAACGTGTTGAACTCGTTAGGCCATCGTGGATACTGATGAGGTATCTCTTTCGGGATTAATTAGCTGCGTTTGTGAGGGAGTAACATATATATATGTGTGAGTGTGTGTGTGTATGTGTATGTGTGTGTGTGTGTGTGTGTGTGTGTGTGTGTGTGTGTGTGTGTGTGTGTGTGTGTGTGTGTGTGTGTTTACTTATTAGAGATCATACGTATTTGTTACTCCACAGGAATACAAGATTATGCAATTTCTTCAATACGTACGTAGCCCTACACTTCACCTCAATGTCTCTGTACAACTTCATATCATAGTTACACATCCCTACACTTCACACCACAGCATCTATCCCATCCCTTCAGTTAACAGTACGTAATCCTTACACTTCACTTCACACTACCCCTCCCCCCCTCCACTTCACCTCTCACTACCCCTCCCCCCCTCCACTTCACCTCTCACTACCCCTCCCCCCCTCCACTTCACCTCTCACTACCCCTCCCCCCCTCCACTTCACCTCATACTACCCCTCCCCCCCCCTCCACTTCACCTCATACTACCCCTCCCCCCCCTCCACTTCACCTCAACGAAGATCAACACCTGAGTCTCACCTGTGACAATCGTCCTCCAGTTCGGGTAAGAGTCTGCAGGGAAAACCGGATTCAGATACTCTGCACGAACGCCGTCTTTTACGAAATTATCGAACCCGGGAAAGCCAGCGTCGCTCTTGTGTATGTCGAGGTAATCCCAGCGAAATCTGTCGACGGGAAAGAAAGAAAGAGAAAAAAACGTTTGTAGGTCGGGGGTCGGATGTAAACGTTTTGTGTTGTGGGTGAGTGATGTTTTTTTTTTTTAGTATGCTATATGACCTTAAGAGTGTTGTATTTTTTAATGTGAGTTTTTGAGTGTATGTTCAAATATGGTGGTTGTATTATTATTTTGTTTTTGCTTTTGTTTATGGTTTTATTTATGGTTTTGAGCATTTTGAATACGGGTTGGTTTCGACTGTTCAAGGAATTTTATCCTCATATTGGTAACACAAGAATCAGTTTAATAGATAAATAGAGAGAAAACAAATAAATAAACATCAATGGCACTTTAAGAATCATTTAAGAGGTTGGTATACAAAGAAAAAAGTCAGACTGATAAACATCTACACCTATACTTATGTAAATATAATGCTAGCCTTAATCTCCAAGTCTGGAGTATAACTCTATCCAAAAAAGTCATTATCTATCTGATCAACATGCATACCTCCCTAAATATCCAAATTTCATTAGATCAAAACTCATGATTATTTCGTGGACCGATATCCAGTGTGAATCATTTTCTTATATACGTCCTGCATATGTGCATAAGAAGTTACATATAATGGTCCTGAGATTGAAAGAATATTGGGAATATTAGGCATTATTTCAAAGTTTTCAAAATGATTTTCTTTTCTTTTGAGTATCTGATCTTTGACACTTTCGTTGACGGCATTTTGAATGTTAAAAAAAGAATATGAGAAATTAAGTATATTAAATAAAAGGTAAACTTCAAGCACAAGCACACCCACACACAAAACTCACCCATCCAGTAGGATCAGAATCATGGCAGGATCGTCTTCGGTCGCAGAGGCACGCCCACCCACGCCCGCGAACCCAAGTATGATCAAGAAGAAGAGGAATGGGCGTGGAAGTTCCATTATTGCTGTCATCACTGAAAAAAAATGTTTATATCAACAAGAGAGAAAAAAACAAACTATATGAAATATTACGTATGCTGATACTCGTAAGACATATCAAATAAAATCAAACATTCTAATAACATCCATCCTATAAAATAATAACAATAATAATAATTGTAATTATAGTTCTAAAACTTTCTAAGATTTCGTCCACCACAGTTAAGATTTCGACCTTCGGAATCTCATGGTAATAAGCGCAGTTTGAAAGCCATGTATTTGGCTTCATGGGGTTTCATATACAGGCCCAAGAATGTGTGGTATGTTGATGGAAGATCGAAGATGATGATGATGAAGAAGAAAAAGAAAAAGAAAAAGAAGAAAAAAAAAGAAGAAGGAGAGAGAGGGCTGAAGGAGGGGGAAGGAGGGAGAGGGAGAGGGAGAGGAGGGAGAGGAGGGAGAGGGAGAAGAGGGAGAGGGAGAGGAGGGAGCGAGGGGGGAAGAGGAAGAGGAAGAGGAAGAGGAAGAGGGAGAGGAAGAGGAAGAGGAAGAGGGAGAGAGAGAGAGAAAGAAAGCGAACCAGAGACAGAACGAGACAGTAGACAGACAAAAAGAAAGAAATAAAAGAAAAAGAAAGAACGAATGAGAAGAAACTAAAATAAGAAAATAAAAAGAAAAAGAGACTAAAATATCGAAACACTCCCACCGTTTCCATGACCCAACGTCAGGCGAAAACTGGCACCCAATTATAACATCTCCGCGTGAAACTAAATTCTTATTCCAACCGAATGACATTCTTGGTAAAATTGAAACATAGGAAAGGGATTCCAGCCAAGGACGTGACATGGAAGATTCAGCAGATTGATAAGTGTCATTTTCCGTAATCTTTTTTTGACCAGAAAGTGACTTATCTGCCGAGGGAACATGAGAGGTAGGGGGAGAGGAAGAGGGAGGGAGAGGAAGAGGGAGGGAGAGGAAGAGGGAGAGAGAGGGAGAAGGAGGGAAGGAGGGAGAGGAAGAGAGAGAGGGAAGGAGGGAGAGGAAGAGAGAGAGGGAGAGAGAGGGAGAGAGAGAGGGAGGGAGAGGAGAAGGAGGGAAGGAGGGAGAGGAAGAGAGAGAGGGAGAGAGAGGGAGAGAGAGAGGGAGGGAGAGGAAGAGAGAGAGGGAGAGGAAGAGAGAGAGGGAGAGAGAGGGAGAGAGAGAAAGAGGGAGAGGGAAGGAGAGGGAAGGAGGGAGGAAGAGGGAGAAGGAGGGAGAAGGAAGGAGAAGGAGGGAGAGATGGAGAGAGGGAGATAGAGAGAGAGGGAGATAGATAGATAGATAGATAGATGGATAGAGAGAGATGCAAATAGATAGACAGAGAGATAGAGATAGATAGAGAGAAAGAGAAAGGGATAGATAGACAGATAGATAGAGAGGAGAAAGGAAGAGAGGCGATGCAACTGGTTGAACCCCCGCGAGTCTCCTAACCTAATGGAAATCGATATCGTATGATACGCTGCCTTTGTGACATTATTTTCTCTTTTGCCACTTCATTTCCTCCGTTTCTCTCTTTCTCTGTCTCTGTCGCTCTATCTGTCCATCTGTCTGTTTCATTCTCTTTCTCATTTTTTTCTCTCTGTTCGTTTTTCTCTTTTTTAATTGTTTAACTGTTTTAATTCCTTCTTTCTTTCGCTTTCTCTCTTTCTTTCGCTTTCTCTTTCTTTCGCTTTCTCTCTTTCTTTCGCTTTCTCTCTCTCTCTCTCTTTCCTTCTCTCTTTCTTTCGCTTTCTCTCTCTCTCTCTCTCTCTTTCGCTTTCTCTCTCTCTCTCTTTCCTTCTCTCTTTCTTTCGCTTTCTCTCTCTCTCTCTCTTTCCTTCTCTCTTTCTTTCGCTTTCTCTCTCTCTCTCTTTCCTTCTCTCTTTCTTTAGCTTTCTCTCTCTCTCTCTTTCCTTCTCTCTTTCTTTAGCTTTCTCTCTCTCTCTCTCTCTCTTTCCTTCTCTCTTTCTTTAGCTTTCTCTCTCTCTCTCTCTTTCCTTCTCTCTTTCTTTAGCTTTCTCTCTCTCTCTCTCTCTCTCTTCAATCTTGTTTTGCAATTCTCGCAAAGCACGGACGCAGCAAACGAGGAATCTATACCCTTTCCTCTTTCTCTCGTATTGCGTGTGGGTGTTCATAATCAGTAAAAAAAAAGGAAGAAAGAAAGAGAGAAAGAAAGAAGGGTAGGGTAGGGAGGGAGGGAGAAAGAGAGAGAGAGAGAGAGAGAGAGAGAGAGAGAGAGAGAGAGAGAGAGAGAGAGAGAGAGAGAGAGAGAGAGAGAGAGAGAGAGAGAGAGAGAAAGAAGGGGAGGGAGGGAGAGGGAGAGGGAGAGGGAGAGGGAGAGGGAGAGGGAGGGGGAGAGGGAGGGGGAGAGGGAGAGACAGAGAGACAGACAGACAGACAAAGAGAGAGAGAGAGAGAGAGAGAGAGAGAGAGAGAGAGAGAGAGAGAGAGAGAGAGAGAGAGAGAGAGAGAGAGAGAGAGAGAGAGAGAGAGAAATCGACTGAAAGAGAAAAAAATCGAGCAAGCGAGAAGAGATGAAAACACAGGTCAAGGTCATGCGATCTGAACACTCACTGACCAATCCACGAAACAGAGAAAGAGAGAGAGAGAAATAAAAGAGAGAAAGAGAGAGAAAAAAATAAAACAAGAAACAGAGAAAAAAAAAGAAATAGAGAAAGAAAACAAAACAAAATCGTAACCGCAAGCCCTCACAGACCAATCCACGTGACCTTGTCTGTTCAACAAAGGTCATGACGAATGCAACTTATCAGGCACAGGATCTCGGTCGAAGAATCTGGCGACGACGAGAGAGAGTTTGCGGAAAGAAAGAATTCGGGCGACAAATTTCGTCTAATATTTTCAAACTGTAATTTGTAGTTTCTTTTTTTTTCTGGCATTTCGTTTCGTGTTTTTTTTCTCTCTCTAGCATTCATTTTTTCTTTTCTTTTTTTACGATGGATTTTTTTTTTGTGTTTCTAGCTATTCATTTATCATTATCATTTTTTTACATGTAAGGAAAAATCACATCCCCCCCAAAAAAATCATACATTTTCGCTTTTCTTTCTCTCTCTCTCGCATTCCTTTATCTTTTCATTTTTTTCTTCTTTTCTAAATCTTTTTCTCTTTTCTCGTATCCCCGCGTTTTATCCGCCATTTCCGTCCGTGCCGTATCATCTGGCGCCAACTTTTCGCCAGTCTTTCACTTGCTTTTCTTCTTCTTCTTCTTCGTGTTATTTTCCTTCTCTTCCTTCTTCCTCCTTCTCTTCTTCTTTTTCTTCTTCTTCCTCCTTCTCCTACTCTTCCTCTTCCTCCTCCTCCTCCTCTTCCTCCTCCTCTTCCTTCTCCTTCTTTTCCTCCTCCTCCTCTTCCTTCTCCTTCTTTTCCTCCTCCTCCTCTTCCTCCTCCTTCTAATACTATCCTCCTCCTCCTCCTGCTCTCCTCCTCCTCTTCCTGCTCCTCCTCCTCTTCCTCCTTCTCCTTTTCCTCTTCAACCTCTATTCGCGAATGACAATAAGTGTCATGCGCTTGGTAACTGTCATGACAATTCTTCGGATTTGATATGATATGTCGATCCCTTGGGAAATATAATCGCACTAAGAACATAATAAATCACAATAAATTTATTACAAAAAAAACAAAAAATCTTGAGTATTGTCGTAAAATAATATCGATTCTGTTACCGTTTTTTAAAAATATTATTGACATGATAGTCATATATAAATCAGAATTTCAAATCTTCAAATTTTACGGTTTATTAAAAAATAAATAAATAAAAAAAGAGAAAAAACTTTTACACAATAACAGATAATCCCCCTGAAAAGATTGGAATAAATAAAGAGGACAGAATATAAAATGAAAACAATCGAGGTGACAAAAGCGCAAAAGAACCATTGACATTTTTTTTTTTTTTTTGAAATGGCGGGAAAACGATCGGTTATATCTGTTTTTTGAATTTATGCCGCGAGTTTTTTGTTTTACATGGATTTTTTCTAGTTATTTCTAAAGGTCTTTGAACTGATTATATCTATTTTGATAAGAGACAGAATTAAAATGAAAACAATCGAGGCTGGAGGGAATGGATAACTTTTCATCACTGGTCATCTATAAATATATTACGGACATCATACCCACTAACACTCACAAAGAAAAGAATTATACTTAAAAAAAATCATAATCCACCTATACAGAAACAAGCAATCATGGAAAATAAAAAAAAACCCGACTACTTCTAGAAAAAGAAAAAAAAAATCCCCTCGCCTCCGAACAGTCTGTAAATATTTGTGAGTCGAGTCTCTGGCATTCAGAAGGACACAAAGCAGCTCTTTTGCCCCCTTTGTGAGAACCTGAAGACCCTTTGCAATGCGTTGTTGCAAACTCTGCAACCTTCTGAGGGCAAGGCTCGTGTTTGTTGAGAGAGAGGGCTGAGGATACGGAAGGAATGAGGGAGAGGGAGAAGGAGAGCGAGAATGAGAGGGAGAGGGAGAGGGAGAATGAGAGGGGAAGGGAGAAAGAAAAGGAGAGGGTGAGGGGAGGAAGAGGGGGAGGGGGAAGGAGTGGGAGAGGGGAGGAAGAAGGAGAAGGGAGGAAGTAGGAGAAGGGAGGAAGAGGGGGAGGAAGAGTGGGAAGGAAGAGGGGGAGAGAGAGGGAGAAAGGTAGAGGGGAAGGAGTGGGAGAGGGGAGTGGAGGGAGAGGGAGAGTGGGAGGGAAAGGGGAGGAGGGAGAACGAGAGAGAGAGAGAGAGAGAGAGAGAGAGAGAAAGAGAGAGAGAGAGAGAGAGAGAGAGAGAGAGAGAGAGACAGAGAGACAGAGAGAGAGAGAGAGAGAGAGAGAGAAAGAGAGAGAGAGAGAAAGAGAGAGAGAGAGAGAGAGAGAGAGAGAGAGAGAGAGAGAGAGAGAGAGAGAGAGAGAGAGAGAGAGAGAGAGAGAGAGAGAGAGAGAGAGAGAGAGAGAGAGAGAGAGAGAGAAAAGAAAGAAACCGAGACAAAAAATAGATACACAGACAGAGGAAGAGCGAGAG